ACAAGTCTAAACCTTGATGTCCAAGTGTTCAACTCAACACTTTCTCTAATGACAAAATAGGTGGTTTTTATCAGGCATACGAATGATTAATTACGGCTTTAAAGCAGAAGGCATGTTCTGATGCATTAACACAATTAGTACTGCATTTGATTTCCTTTTCTTATTTCCATGCCATAGCTCTTGCAGAGTGACATTAGAACTTTGATACAAAATTCTAAATATAATGTTTTATCTCTTCTGACCCAAAGGTTTTGAGATTTATTTACCTAGAGTTATATAAAACCATTTTTTACTGTAGAACTACGGGCAAAATGCAAGTTAGAATGTTTAAGAATCCTACACCCAGAGTCCACCAGGAATGACTGCCATAGCCTACGACACTGAACCCGCCTTCCTGCCTGCTTGTCCACGAGACAGGAAGGGCCACCTCTGCATCCCTACTGCTTAGCATAGCATCTGGCTCACAGAAGTTAGTCCCTCGATACTTGATGACAAGTAATAAATGACTAGAACTAAATAAGCTGTAAGAATAGAAACATTTAACAGCATCAGTGAATTTTCTGGAAGGAACTAATGTTCCTACTCATACAAACCCTATTACTCATTCAATTGCTATTTCCTATTCACAATGTATTCTCCACACCTAAACTTACTCCTAGAACATGCCTGTGCTCACAGGAACCTGTGTAGCTTGACTATTTTTTATTTTCCCAGGAGCCTCATCCTTCTTAAGTCTAACTGAGGCCTTTCCATTCGGTGTTTTCAAGATGAGTTCAAATAAAGATGAGCAAAAATAGATGAGAGAATGGAACTGTTATAATTTCTCTGCTTTATCCTCTACAAATTTTAAGAGTATTTTAGTTACCTCTGGGTTGTTTCTTCATCTTGATATATGTCCTTTTATATCTTAAAGAAATATCATGGAATACTGGAGGGTAAAAACATAAACACAAGAAAGATTAGGTGTGTGGCTTTAATGCCCTTGCAAATATCACAAAGCCATCGTACTATCCTAAACAGGCAGCACATGTTTACCAAGAATGAATGACAAACTCTGATTTTAATCATTTTACTAACCTTCTCAGGAGATTAGGTTTGTTTTCATATATTTGTAAGAATGTAGTAACACACAGAGAAACACAAAAATATTCATGGAGATATATTGCCACACATATTTTAACTAGTATAATATTGCAAATGTTAAAAGAAAGATTAATACTCACTCGTATGGTCTTCGTATCGTTCTATGTAATGCAAATAGTGAATTGCTTTGTTCTTTGCCTAAAAGAAAGAAGAAAAATATTTCTCTTAAATGTATTATTGAAATTTACATTTTGTCAAGGATTTCAAAAATACTTTTTATAAAATGTTTTATTATAAAAAATTTCATTTATGCAAAAATTTTAGTATATACTTCTAAAAGATAAGGACTTATTAAAAAGAAACCCACAACCACAATAGCACTATCACATCTAAAAAGATTAACAATAATTTCTTACTATCATCAAACATTCTGACAGTGTTCAAACTTCTACAGCTGTCTGATAATTTTGGTAAGCAATCACAAATCTGATAAAAATGATGAAGAACATAAGTACTTCTGAAACTGCTTTTTATGATATAAGTAACCTTTGACAACAGGCCTCATGGGAAGGTTCTGGAACAAATTATTATTGTTTTATGGTTCCCACAGTGTTTAACACATAGCTTATTGATTTTTTACTGAGTGTCAACAAAGATAAAAATGTACGTACTTTTCTGAAAGCATCTATCCGTTCAGTGGCTTTCCCAATGGCAAAACCTTTAAATAAAAAAGCAAAAATATGAAAAGGGATATAAATGTGGCACACAATGTGGCTTTTGCCACATTTCAAGTTTCAGTTCCTACTATTTCATAGTACTTCATCTTTCTACCACCCACAAAAAACCTGCTATCCAAAATTAATGACAAAGCATGAAGCTACAGAGATTTGCTTATCTGTTCTGAGGCATTCTGGAAATACTACATGTGGACATATTTATGAAATCCAAGGTTAGATGTATAACATTATCTTTTATAAATCTCTAGATAAAATGAAATATACTCAATTTTTTAAAAACACTAAATATGCTCTAAATTAATATGGCAAATGATCTGGGATGTTTTTGAAAATAGGTAAAAATAACCAAAAAGGGTAGAAAAAACTATACATTGCTATAAAAAAAAACCATGATTTCACTGGAACTTCAAATGGAATTCAGATTTCAATTAACCAGGAAATAAAATCAATGATGCTTTGGTTTGTGAATGCTTAACCCCATGAAATGAGTTTATCACAAGTTATAGAAATGTTCCCCTCATTTGCTGGCACTATTAATTATTTAGCTT